GGATCTTCTGGGGCGAAGAGTACCTCCGGTCCATGCAGCTCTGGACGCACGGCTACGACATGTACTCGCCGTCGCGCCACGGCCACGTCGTGTTTCACAATTGGACCAACGACCCGCAGAAGAAGCGGTTCTGGGACAATGTGACAACGCTGGCGGACAAGCCGCGCGAAGAAGCGATCGCGTACAACCGGCTTCGTACGATGCTGACGCTGCCGTTCCAAGGCGAGGTCGACACGCGCGAGCTGCACCGCTTTGGGCCGGGCCGCGTCCGGTCGATTGCGCAGTTTCTCAACTTTTCGGGTATTTCCAACTCGAACGCGTCGCTGGACGAGTGGCCGACGGCGCAGCGTCGATGGGTGCCGTACTCAGTCCCGGATGAAGTCGAGGCGCTGCTGCCGGGCTGGACGCTCCATGCTAGCAACGTCAAGGCGATAGAGTCGCACGCAACGTCCGAGGCTGTGGTGCTGAACGAGCTGGAGAAGCTGGCGGCCAAGCTTGAAGAAGACCGCGCTGCGAATGAAGCGACGTTGTTGCATATTCGACAAGAGATTGCCAAGCTCCACGCAGTGCCGTCGACAGCGATCGCGTCACCGTCGCTCATGACGAGTCTCGTGCCGATGGGTGTCATCGCGTGCGCCCTCTTGGTGCTCTACTTTGTTGCAGGACGTCGGCGTCCACGGTCCGCCGGGACCAAGTAGATTGACAATGCCAAGCACCTTTCATGGATATCGTTTATCCTTAGTCCGTTCTTACGAACTATTGAATTTCGCTGGCGTTCCATGTGTTGGAGCTCGAGCATGAAGCTTCTGAGATCTCGACCAGTCATGAGATGTGGGGTAGCTGTCCACAGTCGCGGCGACGTCAGCTTTTAGCTCGCCGTCGATACAATTTGGATAGATAGATAAATAGATAGATATATAGATCTTGAAATATCCATCTCAGTTGGGCCAATACTCTTAACGTGTTCAAACAATACACGTGCCCGTCACGACCCATTGCGTAAATTGATGTTGGAAGACAAGTGACATTGCTGCGTGTTTAAATGACGTATGCCTTGGCGCACGTGGCCGCGTACGTAGTCGACGGCGAAGGCTTAAGGTTGTTGTTTGTGGCATCCGTGTGGAAGCAGCGGCAGTGGCCCGTCGACTTGTCTGCGCTCAAGCCCCACGTGAACGCATTGTACTCGCTTCCGTTGTCATAACACTTGTAGCAGTCGTCAAAACTGCCGTCGAACCCGAGCACGGGCACGTTGGTCGTGTCGGCGGCGAGCTCGGCGTTGCCAAAGCAAAAGTTGTTCTTTCGGTAGTATAGCGTCGACTGCACGCCCGGCGCGTTCATATAATTCGTCGCCGTGTGCTTGAGGTAGCACTGCCAGTGGTCGTTCTTGTTTTGGGACGTGCCATAACACGCGCTGTCCTTCTGGCACGCCTCGACGCAGTCGAAGAGCGACGACTTGTTGCCGGCGTCCTTGAGGTCCTTGCCCGGGTTCAAGTCGATGTCCTTGAGCTCGAGGTACCCTGCGTACACGATGTTGACAAGGCCGACCACCTGCTTGCACACTTGGGACTCGAGGTCGAGCGTCCATTGGCAGCTGAGACCGTCCGCGCACGGCGTGGCCTTGCTGCAGCGGGACCACGACTGCGCCCCGACATCAATCGCCGCCGACATGTGCGGGCCATTGGCGAGACGCAAGTGCGTCGTCGCCGCCGCAAGGGGCAGCGCGATTGTCGTGATCGAGAGCATCGTCTTCATGGTGGAGCGGTGAATTGAAAAATGAAACTCGAAAATGAAGCGTGTCCGTCAAGATGGCAGCTTTCTACGACAGTGGTATCTGTGCTTGGATGTATGGATGTCGCGGGCCATATTCTCGCCGGTAAAAAATGACTTGGATACGTGTCGCTGGGTTGTGTCGACGATCGCCTCTCAAATCGGTTCCGCATATACATCCGGATACGGGACGTCGGGCACAGCAAGCCCATATCGACGGCCGCCCTTGGTAATAGCATTCGAGCGGATGCTTTTGCTCGGCAATGGCGCGTGCAACGAGGTTTTGCCGGTAAAAGTATCGGCTTGGATAAAAGGATAAATGTGCATGGTCACGACCGTGACGCGACGTCGGTCCAGCGGAGATTCCCAGCAGATGGTGCATTCATAGGGCTAGATTTTTCATGGATTCAAGACGTACAATTTAGAGATCCCAGAGATTGTTTGGCGCTGCCTGTCCCCACGACGACGTTGTGCATCCACGCAAACGATCGATGCCTTCTCGTGTAACGAATAAGGATCACCCACGACTCGGTATTTGCAACATGCCAACCGATCGCCCTCGATGCGGCACAGAATACTCCAATGCGACCATGCAATGTGACCGTGTTCACTGCTGCCCCGGGTATGTAGTCACCCATATCTATCGTCTTCATGTTGCACCATGAAGGAGGCAGACTTGTCGTGAATAGTGAGACGCTTAGTCGGTGCTGCAGTCGAGCAGCAAGACGTGTATAGGCTCCAGTTAGTACCTGGACTCGGTGGTGCGCAGGAGGGGAGTGTCGATGGATCCGATGCAAGTAACAACGATAAACACGTCCAAACGAGACGTCGCCTGGGATTTTCTTTATTTTTTCTGCTTCTTGAGCGCCTTGACGACCTTGGCGTGCTTGCTCGAGTTGATGTGTGCGTTGTACTTGGTCTGCAACTGGAACGTCGCCTTGCACGGATCGCACTTCCACACTTGGGCCTTCTCCTTCTTCTATTGTCAGCATTCACGTTCAGTTTCGAGCTCCATCTCAAAATACAGTACCACGACCTTTGCCGCCACCTTGGGCTTGGCCGCCACAACCTCGGGCACGACATCGTCGTCAACGTCGACAGGCGGGACCCACGCTTCGTTAACGCTAAAGACGTGCGTCCAGGCGCCCTTGGTCGACGGCGGCTCGCCACGGAACGACGCCGGGTGCGTGCGCTGCGCCTCGTACCCAGGATACAAGCCGATATCAAACGCGTCCAGCCTACATGTATCAAGTTGATAATCGTCCAAATGCCAGAAAACCACAAAATATAAAAAGGGCGTACCGTTTCAGCGTGTAGCCCGCACGCTCGGCCTGCGCTTGAATGTTCCAGCGGTTGTAAAAGAGCGTGTTTCGCAACGCGACGTGGATCTCGCCACGAGGCGTCTTCTACAATATTGTCTGTCTTGAGTTGGAGCGGGTAAGGATATACGACGTACGAGGAAAGGGCGGGCCGAGACAAAGAAGCGAAACAAGAGGTCCTATGTCGGTAATTAGCATCACAGGACCACACGGAAACGAGGTCGTACCTGGTTCATCTGGACGTCTTCTTCGGTCGCACCGCCCAAGTGCGGAAAGTTGAACAGAATCCGGTCAAACGACTTGGTGTGGATCCAGTCTTGCTTCTCGAGCGCAGTCGCGTCGACACCAACGTGGATCTCGGCCTAATGGAATGGTAGTCTCATCAGCCCCTGCGCATCATATCGATTTTCTAGTCATCAATAGAGTGTACATGTGTGATTTGAAGCCCGCGAATGTTGGCCGAAGCCGTCGGGTACTTGCTCAAGAGCTCGGCCTGGCTGTCATACCTAGACTCGAGATAAGGCGCTTGTTCCTTCTCTTGTTATAGGACAACGTACACAATTCTCTGACCGCCCTAATGTATTCATGCGTCAAAATGAGCTCACTGTTGCAAGGCTATGTACCAGGTTCGTGGCAAGGGCGAGCGAGAACGAGAGGTCTCCGTCGCCGACAACGAGAACGTCGTGGCGGTCTGCGACGTTACCGACGATCTTGGGGTTGGGGTTCGAGAGGTTGGCTTGGTGAAAGATGGTCGACGCCGCGTTGTCGATGCGCTTGGTCAGAACCACGGGCGCCGCCGCTGCCGCGGCCTTGACAGCCGGCCGCTTCTTCATGGCCTGGCGCGCATTCCGCTTGCCGCCGCCGCTGGGCGGTGCGCCGCCCTTCTTGGAACCTTGCGGCGGACCCTTCTTGGAACCTTGCGGCGGGCCCTTCTTGGGACCCACGTTGCCGCCTTTCTTGGCCATATTGCAGATATGAAAACGTGGCATCCAATCATCGCGCGGTTTTATTGAGGTGCCTGATTGGCTATTAAATGACCAATCATGGTCCGGCGATCGAACGGAAGGATCTCCTTCGGCGTTGCGCGGGATGTCATTGAAGCCTACAACAACCACCACGACCTCGTGCTCCGACCGGACGATATTTGGCTCGCGATTTTGATCCAGTTTGGTTTGTACGTCGATGGCAACGCCGAGGAGCTTCGGTCGTCGCTCGTCAAGCACGAAGGCAAGAAAGAGCTCGTCGTTGACGCCATTGAAACGTTGTACTCGGTCGACTTTGGCGCGCTCTCCAAGCAAATGGTCGACAAGATGGACGAGCACCTCGTGGACCCGGGTCTCAAGCACTGGGTGCTTCCGTCCTTCTCTACACTACAACGACCGATGACGACGTCATTGTCGGCAGCGTCGTGCTCGTGGCCGCGATGAAGAAGTATTTCAGCTTCAAGTTTGGCCTCTGCTGTGGCATTCCACATGTGACGCTTCTCGGCACCGTGGACTATTGGCAAGACATTCGTCGTCGCCTCGACAAGCTCGCATCGTACGGCGAGCGCATGCAGCAGTGGACGGCGATGCTGGCGCCGATCCTCGATCAGTTCGTGGCGGCGGCCAAAAGCCAGGCGGACGTTGCCTTCTTGGACCGCATCTGCAGCCACGAAGGCGGTGGATCGGGCCCACGCTATCTCAACGGCTGGATCAGCGTCTTTTGTGTCTTCAACGACGAAGGCAAGTGGCAAGGCGACAAATATGACAAGTGCTGCAACGCAAGCCCAATCCGGATGATTGGTTTGATTTTATCAAGGCTGAAGTCATGTACGACTTTCCGCTCGTCGACATGCAGGACATTCTGCCGGGGTACCTCACGGTCGACGTGACGACCGACGACAACGGGACAGAGTGCAAGGCGCTCATGTTTGCGGGGCACATGGCCTACTGCATTGGTGACGACAAGGCGTCGATCGCGCCGTCGCTGAGCTGGGCGATGGCGCTCAAGAAGGTCCGAGCCGTCAAGCGCCTCTTCTTTGCATGATGCGCCGACGAGCGCACAAGCAGTGGTCAGGTAGTCTTGCATACCTTGCCGTCGGACGACTACACTGATACTCAATCAAACGTGTTCGCGTTGAAATCAAATTAGCTAACTCAAAGGCTTCGCATACGTAGTGCTACGCCTGAATGCGTGGGAGTTGGCACCAGCACTTGGTCGTTGGGAGTGAGCTGCGCACGGAGAGATCCATCCCGTGGTGGACCCCACTCGCCGAGTGATAGCTCGTACGCAGGCTCCTGTACTCGGACCACCCGACAGAGGAGTGCTCATACTCATAAGACAATACATGTTGCCGCCAGTCCCAACTGCGCAGATGACAGGTCGTCTTTTAAGAACGATACATGGCGAGCCTTGACCACCGACAGAATCCCCTCTCGGATCGTTCAAGGTTGAAGCTGGCTCGCGCTCTGACATGCTAAAGTTGCGTGTGTCTAGTCCCTCTGATCTGGATTCGATGCAGTTTGAGAGGTTTTTCGAAAATCCACGCAAATCTTTGCATCGACACCAAAGGTCAACGCGACGATGGACGCGAGCACGGTGGGCATGGACGGTAGTACGACGACGATGCAATCGCCGGGCATGGACGACGCGCCGATGAGCCCGATCGCGCAGGCCAACGATGACCCGGCCGTCGAGCCCATCACCAAGGAAGACGAGCCGCGCGTCGTCGAGCCCGAGCGCTTCGAGATTGAGCCGTTCACGCCCTTCTCGTCTTGCCACCTCTGGCGGCTCATGAGCTCCTTCTACGAGCGCCAAGGCGTCGAGTCGTGGGCGCAGGGCATCGTGCCGCACTTTATCACGTCCAACACGTTCATCGCCAAGCGGTACGGTAGCATCTCTCGCGCGATGGTGGCTCATATAGCGCCTGTAGCTACGTCCAGGTCTTTCTCGCCTACCTGCGCGACGCTGCGTCGGCCTTGGACCCGACGCAGCCGCTGTACCTCATCGAGCTTGGCACGGGCAGCGGCAAGTTTAGCTTTTACTTTGTCCAATGGCTCCATGAGATGGAGGCGATTCTCCCGTTCCCGCTCAAGCAGATCCGGTACATCATGACGGACTTTACGGACGCAAACCTCAAGTTCTGGACGACGCACCCCGCGCTTGCGCCTTATGTCGCGTCTGGCCTCCTCGACTTCGCCATCTTTGACGCGACCGCCGACACGTCGCTGCACTTGATCGCGGCCAAGACGACGATAGCCGCGGCGACGCTCGCAAATCCCATGTGCGTCATCGCCAACTACCTCTTTGACACGCTGCACCACGAGCTTTTCCGCGTACGGCCCAAACAAACAATGACATTCTTATGAACCGAAGACGCGATGGTAGGTGGAGAACGGCATCCTCAAGCAAGGCTTGATCAGCGTCGGGTCGTCGCACGCCAACGAGCCTGGTACGCGCGCACTTGCAAGCATATATATGGGCACCGGCCATGTCTTTCTCATGGTGGTCATAGACATCCTGGACCCTGAAATTATCAAGCGGCTCGCCAACCGCTTTCAATACGACGCGATTACGTCGGCCTACTATGGTGACCAAGTCCACTTGAACGCGGTCTTGCAGTGGTACCACGACTACTACAATGCGTCGCCGGCCACGTTTCTCGTGCCGATTGGCGCGCTCCAGGCCATCGAGCGGCTCAAAGCGCTGACACGCAACCAACTGCTCATTCTCTCGGGCGACAAGGGCCACACGAACCCCGACCACTTTCGCGGTCTCCAAGACCCGCACATTGCGGTCCACGGGTCGTTCTCTGTCATGTACGTCGTCGTTGTGCATTGTGTACATTTTTTGTGTTTTTTGTTTATTTTTGTTTATTTTTGTTTATTTTTGATCATTTTTGCACAAGTGTGCACGATTATAATGTAATGATCGACGTCACACCATGTGTAGGGTCAACTACCATGCCATCGGCGTCTACGTGGCGAGTCGCGGCGGCTTTGCCCTCCACAACCCGCAAGAGGAGGCGAGTTTGAAGGTGTCTCTGTTTGTACTGCCGGCCACCGATGCGCCAGTGACAAACCAAGGTGGAGTCGCCCTCGACGAGCGCTGCAAGGACCGCGCCCGGCAGTATCCGCATGCGGCCCACACCTTTGACGACGGGCTCGTGAGCTTTGGCCCGAACGACTTTTTCATGATGCAGAAGTGCCTCAAGGTGCATCAAATCTAATGAAGTCGTGCATATGACGAGACGTTCTACGTCTAGGAAGACGCCAAGCCGCCGAGCCTCAAAGGCGTGCTTGCGCTCCTCAAGCTCAGCTTTTACGACGCCGACTTGCTCTACAAGTTTCGTGACGTCCTCTTGGATCAATCGCCAACGGCGCCGCCCAAGGTCAAAGTCGACGTGCGGCATTGTTTGTCGCAGACATGGAAACACTACTACCAGCTCGACAAGGACAAGGTACGAAGCGTGCTCTCCACATCAACTGATTGAGATTGAAATTTAGGACATTGCGTTTGAGATTGGCCGCGTCTTTTATGGCATGCGTGAGTACTATGATGCACTCACGTACTACACCGCGTCGCTCGATGAAATGGGCAAGCACCACGTGACGTACCACAACATGGGTCTTTGCTACTACAGCACACAGCGGTAAACTGTCGTCCGCTGCTTCGACTAACTATGCATTCGACTAGACTCGAAGAAGCGAGCAAGTGCTTTCTCGCCGCGACCGAGCTCAACGCGTGCTACACAAAAGCGCAGACGTGGCTGCAGCGCGTGCAGACGGAGCTTCTTGGCGGCAAGGTCGAGGCCGACCCCAAGGCCGTCGCCTTGCAGGCGGTCGATATCCGCGTTGTGGAGGAGACGCCTGTTATGGACGAGCCCGTCGCTGCCCTTCTTCCCACCGTCGTTGCGCCGACCAACTAGTCGCTGACACAGCCCCAACGTCACGCAGGAATCCAAGTCGACCGATCTCTAGCGCTTATGGAATGTGCGGATCAATAACACTACGCTCAATCATCATGTGTTGGCCTGCAGTCTAGCAATGTATCGGCTTGCCTTGCGATCCATCGCGCTCCCATCGCGGCAAACTCTCCACCAAGTGCTCCAAACCAAGAACGTCCGAGCCCTCTGTATGCAGCCACATGCCTCCACTCGATCGAGGAACGAGTGCTCTGGTCTCGATGGGCTGGCTGGAAGGGTTCACGACGAGGCGACCACAACGATCTGCGCAGCCGCCTTTAAATGCAAGACTCTTTGTATGAACGGACGCTAAAAGAGAAAGGATACTTGTATCATCTGTCGATGATGGGTTCCTCTTCCTCTGCTGAGTGATCCGCAGCGCTAGAGGTCGTGGACGAGCTGCTTTCCTTACGCGAATCCGCGCGTCTGATTGGTCAGCTCTGTCGCGGGTCGCACCCTACCCCTACCACCTGGCGGTTATCTTGGCGTTTGTATGGGATCGGACAAGCTTGGGTCTGAGTCGCGATATCAGATATCGCGACAGCAGGACGCACTGTGGACACACTTGACTGGTACTATAATTCTTGTCGAGCAAAGCGTCGTCGACGAAGGACGATTGTGTCGGCCTTCTCTTGATACCGCGTGACGTGTAAGAAATGAGGCGCATTCAAAGTCCGCTATTGGGAGGCGATGACTTTACATTTTTTGTCGACACAGCGGTCGCCTGTCGCTGCAATCTGAGTAGAGGACTCTGAGTTGTGGCCGACGACGACGACCTTGACGACAGTACTTTTCTCGTGTATACAGTATGTAGTGCCCTCCAGAATAGAGTACCAGATTTGTAGGATCGGATGGCGCCGAGCCCAACTTTGACCGCAACGCTGTGTGTTGTCCCATTGTCAGACAGGCCACTGCCGTGCTCAGACAAATACAAGAATCTGAGTTGAAAGATCTGAGATTGCACTGTAGTCAGGTGCCTACATTTGGCCTTGAAAACGACCACCACGGAATATCCCTGGCACGCGTCTTTCCGCATCCATCATGCGCGCACGGCCGGTCCCGTCTGAGTCGAGGATCGGTTCTATCGTCCCACGGGCCGTCGTCCCCGGCTTGCTTTCGCAACCTCACTTTCCATCTTGACTGCCACCACCACCACCATGATCAAGACCGCCATCATCGCTGCCGTCGCTGCCACCGCCGTCCTCGCCGAGGAGGGCCGCGTCGACTACTTCGCGCCCGGCCCCGTCGCCCACAACGACGCTATTGAAATCGTCGGTGGTGTCGAGGCCGAGGTCGGCAAGCACCTGTACGTCACGGGTCTCCGCCGCACGCCGGAAGGCAAGGCCAGCTGCGGTGCGTCGCTCATCGCGCCGACCGTCCTCCTCACGGCCGCGCACTGCGCTGTCGGCAACTGGGCCGCCAACGCCTCGATCGGCTCGCACTTCCTCTCGGGCGCCAAGGACGGTGAGCGCATCGCGATCACCAAGATCATCCCGCACCCCAAGTACGACGCGAAGCAGATGACCAACGATTTCGCCATCATGCTCCTCGCGTCGCCCTCCAAGGTGACGCCCGTCGAGGTTTACTTTGGCGACAACGACGCCGTCAACGCGCCGGGCATCAACTCGACGGCCCGCGGCTGGGGCACGGTCAAGAGCGGCGGCCAGCAGTCGGATGTCCTCAAGGAGGTCGTCCTTAAGATCTGGGGCAACAAGGAGTGCAACACGGCGATCCAGAGCGGCGGCTCGGGCTACCCGCAGATCACGGCCACCAACATCTGCGCCGGTGGCGTCAAGGGCGAGGACACGTGCCAGGGTGACTCGGGTGGCCCGCTCACGGTCCAGAAGAACGGCGTCGACGTGCTCGTCGGCATCACGAGCTGGGGCATTGGCTGCGCCAACGCCGGCCTCCCGGGTATCTACGCCCGCGTCTCGGAAGCCAAGGACTTTATCCAGCCGTACCTTGCCGACAAGCCCGCTTGCTAAGCGAGGATCCTTCCTACGCCCCGCGCCCTCTGTGCTGTCTAGTCTCGTCTGTTGCCATTTCTCTCTGCAGCGCGGCGCGTCCACTTAAATACGATAACATCTCGGTCTTGTTGTCCTATTCTATTGCGTAATGTCGGGAGCACGACGACGTTATCACGATCGAGCTGCTAGCAAAAGAGCATAGGCGTAGTTGCTATTCCGGATACGATTAGTGTGAAACGACGAGTCGGTCATATTAGCTACTGATGTCGTCATCCTACTTGTAAAAGGTGCTATAGCGTCACATGGCGAATCCCTCCACGCGACACGACGACCATTAAGGTTGCCGTTCAAGTACATACTAGCTTCGACACGAGCCTTGACCAAGGGTCTATAAGCAGTCGATAGACCCTTGCCTCGTCCAAGGGACTAGGGCTACTGTTGCTGTGCACTTGCAATGAGTTGCACGCACCGGCGTACACCAGCTTTGACTGTAGTCGCATCACTGGATACATCTATCTGCGGCGACGCGGGGCCGTTGGTGCGAGGCTCGATCATCCCTTGTCTCTCGTCGTCAAGAGACCTCGCCTTCGTTGGCAGCCGACCCGTGCCCTTGGCTCCTATCATTACGCGATGCGTGGTATATGAAGAAAGAGAGATGGGGGTCGTTGCACCATACCAGTGCACTCCCCGAAAACGGCGACGTGTTAACGTTGCCTCATCACGGCAGTACGTTGAGACAACGTCAAGAGTTCTGGCGATGGCTGCATCCAGCGGTTTGGGTCGTGGTCGCAGGTGCGTATTAGGTTCTCTTGTTGTTTACAAGCACGAAGGTGGCTTGAAGATGACCCGTACGACGGATACAGGGCGTCGACATGCTCTTGCGATGCGAGCAATGGCTACAGGATATGTCTTTTCTTCTTGACGCATGTGCATATATGTACTGTAGCGATACTATACCTCGTTGTACCGGGGTTTCTATGAGTTGTAAAGAGTGACCGCCGGTCACTCGCGGTCACTGACCGGGTGCTGCTGCTGTGGACGATGACGTGGCCGATTGTAGCCATTCGAGGCGAAGACGATAGCTGATTTCATGAGCCGAACATGCTCCCGAAGAAGTCCCACAACATGGCTCGTACAAGGACGTCGTTAGCGGGACTGGGCTGCTGGGCTCGATCCACCAAGGGTCTTTCCGCGGTCCAAGGGCGACTCCAGCAGACGATGGCCATCAACAATGTGTGGTGGCTGTTGGTAGAAACAGTGTGCGCTAGCCGTCAAGGGCCTTGAAGACAATAGTGATCTATACGTGCAGACACCTTCATGGCTCATAAATAGCCTTTTACTAAACTGCGAACGCGACCTAGTCACTCCTCGGATCTCGCATTACACTCGACTGTGACTGCCGCGAGTATCCGGATAGCGTCCGGAAGCGAGAGCACATCCGTTTCCGCCTCATGAGCAGCAGCAAGAAGGTCCGTGAAGGGGACGACGCGCTGGCCAAGGCCGAGAAGCTGCTGACGACCACCATGTTCCGGTGGTCGCCCGACTACATGTCGGCGTCGCCGTACCTGGAGAAGGCGGCCGAGGCCTTCCGCGCCGGCCAAGCGCTCGACCGCGCGGCCAAGACGTACGTGCGGCTCGCCGAGGTGCAGCACAAGAACGGCGCGGTCTTCCGCGCTGCCATGCACATGGAGACGGCCGCCAAGATCCACCTGCAGTACGCGCCCAAGCAGCCGCAGCCCGCGATGCAGTACTACCAGATGGGCAGTGCGTACTACAGCGAGATGGGCGAGCTCGGGAAGGCCGCCGAGATGCTCATGAAGGGCGCGGCCGCGCTCGAAGCCGTCGGTGTGTCCGACGTCAAGCACATGTAGCCATCTCACTCGCACTGCGATCGCTCATACGATGCGTGGGTAGGTATTTGGAGGCGTGCGACCTCATGGAGACGCAGGACAAGCCTCATTTTGCCGTCGACGTCTTCCGCAAGACGGCGGCTTTTCTCGTCAAGCACAAGGACTACGCCGACGCGGTTGTCAACTACGAGCGGCAAGTTGCCCTCTTCCGCGCCATGGGCCAGGTATCGATCCCGTCAAGCCGCCTTCCTTCCTTATGTTACGTTTATTATAGAAAGAAAACATGTACAAGAGCTTTGCGAGCATCATCGTGCTCAAGTGCGCGATGCAAGATGTGATTGCGGCCGACCAGGCGTACATGACGCACCTCCAAGACGACGGCTTCTTGAGTTCGGACGAGTGCGCGCTCAGCGAAGACCTCATCGGCGCGCTCAAGCGCAGCGATGACGCGCAGCTCCAAGTCGTGCTCAAGAAGCCCCAGTGGCAGTATCTCGACACGTGCATTGGCCGCCTTGTGCGCACGCTGAGCCTCTACGGCGGGGCCAAGCCGCCGTCTTCGGCGCCGACCTCTGCGGCCAAGAGCACGTCGTTTCCGCCGTCGACGCAGCGGACGCAAGCTTCGTTGCCGACAACTGCGTCGGTTGGGAGCAGCACCGCACCGGCCTTTTCGTTTGACGAACTCGAGTTTTCGAGCAGCCCCGTTGTTGACACGGCGGCTGCGATCGCGTCGCTGCAGATTGCGACGCCGGCGACGACTGCGCCGGCCACAACAACGCCGTCAGCACCGACGACGACGACGACGGCGGCGGCGGCCGCAAGCGCACCGACGCAGCACGCTGTGGAAGAAGACATGTTTGACCTGACATGATGAGCCCAACGACGGAGCTGGCACTGCGATCGATGACATTTTACACTGGACAGAGGAATCTACACCGAATTGTGTTGAGAATCAGTGATGGATTAAAGCGTCGTCTTGGCATCTGCGCGCTTGTTGGTTTAGGTGCATGTACTCAACATACTTCCGCGCGCGCGTCGCAGGAGGTATCTTGTCCAATGACACGTATGGAGCTCGCACGCCATATTCCAAGCGACCTATGGGTTCTAGCTAATGACGGGTTATAGCTACGGCGCATGTAGAACTCCATCATGTGGTTGATGGACCCCCACTTTACGACACAATGGCCCGGGCGGCAGACGTCGTGCATACTAGTGACAGTTCTAGTAATTCCAAGATGGCGCAGCTACGTCTCGTTGAGCATGGAAGCAAACCCCGGTGCATCACCGCTGTCCGCCACTCCACATTGCCTTTCCAACATTTCGAGAATCCTTTCGTTTTGGATGTTATCCCATCATCCTATTCGAGATACCACCAACATCACATTCAATGGTTCAATTCAATTTTCATATTCAATCACAAGAGTGTAGTACAAGGATTTTTTCCGAGCTTACGCCATGGTGTACGCCGGCAGCGTGTCCTTGGCGCCAAACGAGCACTGACCAGCGTCGTACGCCTTCGCCTGCGTCGCCATTTGCGCGAGCGAGCAGCAGCCACAGAAGAACGAGTAGAGACAGTCTTCGGCCTGCGTGCCCGGGATCTGCAGCAGCGTGCGCACCTTGGTGCGGATCTGGAAGAGGTACACGAACGCAACGACGTACAAGGCGAGCTGCACGATCGAGAAGATCGTCGAGACGCTCGCCAAGACGGAGCAGAGCATCATGCAGACCCAGAGGCCGCCGTACGCCATGAGCACTTTCGAGTACGAGTACAAGCCGAGGCGGTGCGTCGTCTGCGCGAGCGACACGCACGGGCAGCAGGTCGGCATGAAGCAGTTGGGCACGACGGCGTCAAAGCAGCTGAAGATGCCGGCTTCCCACTTGCCGAGCGTGAGACCCGCGGCGTCGTCGTTGTAGCTGCCGACTTGCGGCGCTGAGTCGTGCTGGGGCGTCGATTGCATGTCGGAAGCTGCTCGGGTCGAGGCGAAAGGTAAAGTGAGTGAGACGATATGTCGGTGGTAACGAACCTGCGTCGACGTGCTGCCACGTGTGTGCGCCTCGAAGTGCACCAATCTCTGCAGCACATGGGCGTAGAAGCATGTGTGGCGCCACCTGCTGACCTGGTGCCATAGAAATTCAGCTCACATACGAGCACATGTAGGAAGGCTCTCCCGTGCTGCGCTGACGACACGTTCGACAGATGCAGACGACGTCATTGGCGCATACCACTGCGTTTATAATCGGTTGGTGACATGCTGCAGCGGTAAAGCGCACTTGGTGGGCGTGTGCGGTATTGGATCGAAGCGTGCAGCTGGTTCACGAGGTCGATGGGCATGGCGTAGCGCCTACGCGAGATACCTAGCAGCGCTGGTGATGCTCGTACGTTGCTCTTACAAGCCATGAGCTCGCGACGTGTGAGCTCTGGCGTTGATTGGATACCGCAAATGATGGTGATCCGACGACTGAGTGAAGGTCGTTTATGGAAGCGGTTTTCGACTGGCGGCAACGACAGGTCGGGAAGGTGATTGGCTATCAGATCTTGCGCCTACCAGTACGTGAAGGCAGCATGCAGAGGGTGTCCAGATCTGGCCCATAGATACAACCGACTGCAGGCGTCTTGGGCAGCTTCGTGAGTGCTGCAATGGCTGGCGCGTCCAAGCCAGCGCGTCGTCGTGACGCGTCGACCCCTCGTTGCGTGCGGTGTGAGTCATGGCATTGCAGCCGGTGTTGTAATCGTACAAGCGCAGTGTAGGTTCCGTGGTGCTGTATTCTGTTCATCTGCACGTTGTATTACAGTGTACATTGTCCTTCGATCATGCATGCCACGCGCCACGGCACAGTACAGTACAGAGTAGTGGCTGGACCACCCTCCAGCCCTCCAGCAGCCTTCGGTACCCCATTTCGACCATGCGACCAGGCACATGACGTCGTCTGCATCTGTCGAACGTGTCGTCAGCGCAGCACGGGAGAGCCTTCCTACATGTGCTCGTACGTGAGCTGAATTTCTATGGCACCAGGTCAGCAGGTGGCGCCACACATGCTTCTACGCCCATGCGCTGCAGAGATTGGTGCACTTCGAGGCGCACACACGTGGCAGCACGTCGACGCAGGTTCGTTACCACCGACATATCGTCTCACTCACTTTACCTTTCGCCTCGACCCGAGCAGCTTCCGACATGCAATCGACGCCCCAGCACGACTCAGCGCCGCAAGTCGGCAGCTACAACGACGACGCCGCGGGTCTCACGCTCGGCAAGTGGGAAGCCGGCATCTTCAGCTGCTTTGACGCCGTCGTGCCCAACTGCCTCATGGCGACCTGCTGCCCGTGCGTGTCGCTCGCGCAGACGACGCACCGCCTCGGCTTGTACTCGTACTCGAAAGTGCTCATGGCGTACGGCGGCCTCTGGGTCTGCATGATGCTCTGCTCCGTCTTGGCGAGCGTCTCGACGATCTTCTCGATCGTGCAGCTCGCCTTGTACGTCGTTGCGTTCGTGTACCTCTTCCAGATCCGCACCAAGGTGCGCACGCTGCTGCAGATCCCGGGCACGCAGGCCGAAGACTGTCTCTACTCGTTCTTCTGTGGCTGCTGCTCGCTCGCGCAAATGGCGACGCAGGCGAAGGCGTACGACGCTGGTCAGTGCTCGTTTGGCGCCAAGGACACGCTGCCGGCGTACACCATGGCGTAAGCTCGGAAAAAATCCTTGTACTACACTCTTGTGATTGAATATGAAAATTGAATTGAACCATTGAATGTGATGTTGGTGGTATCTCGAAGAGGTTGATACGATAACTCCAACGAGAAAGGATTGTAGAGCACGTAAATGCGACTGGGTTTATCTAACGTTCATGTTGGAGGGATCGAACGTTCATGTTGGAGGGAAACAATCTATTCGCAGGGCACTCACATAGCAAGGGCCGTTGCTGCTAAACGCTAGCCAAACCACACGGAGCATTGATTGACAAAAGGCAGTCCATTGGCCTTTCGATGGAGCTGTGCCTGTCTCCCCAACGATACTGCAACGTGTCATGTTTAGCGAACGGCCAGTATACGACGCTATATTTGAGAACGATAAACCCTAGACCGCAACGGTTTCAACATGTAGATCGAAGCACGTCATATCGACGATCCAAGTCCGCCCATTGGTCTACTGTACTTCGCCAACGTCTTCCACAACGTAGCGCCAGGAATGTAGTCGTCGTGCCGAAAGCGTAGCCACAATGGCAAGAAAATGGTGTCCAACATGGATAAGAGAACGTGATTTGATTATAGCTCTTTCAAAAAGAAATAGACGTCTTGGGCTATTCTAATCTTCGTTGGGTGTGGGAAGGAGGTAGCGTCGATGGGCTGCATCAACGACCTCGTCTCGTCGTGCGATGTTTGTAGTATGTGCCTGGACGACTTGATCGGTAACCTCCTCGAAGGCACGATCACCGACGCTTCTTTGCGGGCGCCGTCGTCGGCGTCACTGGCTGGTCGGACGACTGCGTGGCGGCGTTCATTTGGCGCACGTGCTTGGCACTGTACTTGCCGTTGAGCTCAAAGTTGCGGCGCGCCTTGTCGCTCTTCTTGCCTCGGCGCGTGTTGGGCTCGTCGCTCATGGTGGTGGGGCTGAGGTGTTGCGGGGTAAATCCGAAATGAAACTCAAAGCAACGGAATGCCGCCGCCGAATCTCGGCTGTGGAATTCATCATGTGCAGAGTCGCTTTTGAGCCAATCAGACGACGCGTTGTAGGATTTCAGCCGATGGAGCGACATTTCGACCAATCAAATGCGAGGATTGTTTTGCATCCCCGATGACCTTCATTTGGGACGCCACGACCAGCACTGCCTTGTTTGAGTCGCAAGTCCAACTCAACTTCATTTCGGATTTGTCCCGCAACACCTCAGCCCCACCACCATGAGCGACGAGCCCAACACGCGCCGAGGCAAGAAGAGCGACAAGGCGCGCCGCAACTTTGAGCTCAACGGCAAGTACAGTGCCAAGCACGTGCGCCAAATGAACGCCGCCACGCAGTCGTCCGACCAGCCAGTGACGCCGACGACGGCGCCCGCAAAGAAGCGTCGGTGATCGTGCCTTCGAGGAGGTTACCGATCAAGTCGTCCAGGCACATACTACAAACATCGCACGACGAGACGAGGTCGTTGATGCAGCCCATCGACGCTGCCTCCTTCCCACACCCAACGAAGATTAGAATAGCCCAAGACCTATACTCGTACGCCATTCCTTTATTAAAGAGTAATATCCATCAATATCTCTCCAGTCGTTGACGCTGCCTCAGTCGCTGGCGTCTCTCGAGGACCTCAACAAACTGCGTAGCTTTGCCGCCGATCGCGACGCCTGGAAGGAATCCACGGAGCTTGTCATCATGTGCCTCACCCGCGGCCACAAACGCCCCCGCGCGACTACAGAAGAGCAAGATGCACCCCCGCGCCGCCGCCTGCGCAGCCACGGCCCGGTGAACGAATGAAGAAGAAGGAGATTGCTAGTCTCTACGTATGCGAACTCTTTGTAACAACGAAGATAACGCGAAACACGTTCATATATATCCATCAATATTGTACGTTACCGAGTATACGCTCGTGCCTCATTGTGGCCACGCTGTCAGCACTACCGCTACAATCACGACGCTACATACCTCATGAAAGAAGGCGTCCAACGTGGCATACCCCACCAAATGAGCGAGACTTGTCAATCGCTTCACGTTCTTGTTGATTTGAGATCCAACTGCCGGAAACCGTCGTGGTTTAGGGTCCACCGCCAACGACGCTCCCAAAAACGCACCACGACACCATGTTTTGTTTGGTTTAAATAAACCGTGTAACATCACGACGATTAGCCACAAATCGTTCGGTTCAAGGCGTCGCGCACGGGCCGGCCGTCGCCGCCAGCAATGCGCAGGCACGACGTGGCACTATACAGTGACATGATGTTGGTCGTCACGGAAAACACCAGCGCCGCGCAGTAGCAGATGACAATGATAACAGCCGCCGACGCGTGCGTCCCGCCGCGCTTCTTGAGCCATTGCACGGCGGCTTTTTGAGGCGGCAGCAGCGGTAGAAACGCCAGCGACGCCAACTGCATGCCGTAAGCAATCAGCAGCGTGTACGTGACCTGCCACCGAACGTGCAGCGTGTCGGTCGCGAGGTCGTCGGCCTCCGTGTCAAAGAACGAGTCGACGTACTTGTAGACCATGGTCGCGACCGGGTCCGAGAGGTTGACGATCGACGTGACGAGCGAGTGCACGGCGCCTTCGTTGCCAACATCGGCAATCTCGACGGCACAAAACGCCGAAATCACAAAGCGGACCGCGCCGGGAATCGTGTCGGGGGTCGTCACGCCCATGAAGAAAAACTGGTTGCGGACCACATCCCACGTCGTGCAGAGCATGACGGACCCGTCGATGACGACCTCGGCGATCGTCGCAATCGCAATCGCGCGGCGCCAGTTCATGTTGACGCCCCAGCGCCCGACGGCAAAGATGCACGCCGACATGAGGAGCGTGTTGAGCACGTCAAAGCCAGCCGCGACGAGCGGCTCGACGCGGGCCCACTGCATCGGAATGATCACAGCGGCGGTCGCGTAAAAATTGTAGCAAAAGTTGCTACAAAATCGGAACGCGCAGATTTGCCACGTCACCCGCAGCGTCAAGAGGCGCCAGAGCGTACTCACGTAGTAGCGCAGCATCGGGCGAAACTCGCGGTCTTCTTGAACGAGAAAAATGACACAGAGAATGGCGACGACGCACGGAAGGAGCATGACGCCGTAGAGCACGTTGAGGCTGATCGCCCAGTCAAAGCTGCCACCAAACTCGTGCCCGTTGAGACAAAACCCCGTGACGAGCGACGGCAAGAGCGACGCTGCGTACCGCGTGCCGTAAATCGCCGATTGGAGCTTTCCACGCGTCGCGATCGGCTCGCGCTGGGCGTACTGGACGACCATGGCGTCCGCGGCGACGTCGGCCATGACATACCCAAAGCCTGCGATGCTCGAGAGGAGGATGTAGTAGAGCGCCTCGCTCTTGGCCGACGGGTGCAGCATCGCGACTTGGTCCGCTGAGAGGTCCGAGAAGTCGCCGCCCCGGACGCGCGGAATGACGTCGTCGGTGAGGTTGGCCGCGAGGGCGCGCGGGAGGTACGGGTCTGGGAACGGCCGGAACGCGAGCCCGCAGAGCGCGGCGATGCAGAGGAGCCACCCGATGATCATGTACGGCTTGCGCTTGAGGCCAAACAGCGGGAAGCAGTCCGTGAGCACACCAAAGAAGATCTTGAGCGACCACGAAATGCTCACAAGCGTCGAGTAGGACGCGACTTGGTACCCCGAGAAATTGAGGTACTGCGTGTAGACAGGGTATGCGAGTGCTGGCAAAAAGCCGTAGATGACACCGACGGCCACGTACTGTCCGAGGAGCCCAATGGCTTCGGCACTCGTGAGGTCGAGCGCGCCGCCGGGCCGCAAGGCGCCGTTGGGGTCGTCGGTCTCGGAGATCTTGTGCGGGTAAAACTCGTAGCTGTCGTGGCCGCGGCTCGGGTACGCCGTGAGCGTCTCGGCGTACAGCGTGTCGTCGTAGAGCCAAATGCCATCGTTCGACTTGGCCGTCGTCTCCATCGCAAGCAGCAAATGGCAAAGTGGTGGCGATCGAATGATATGATGAGCTCGTCCCACGCGTCGCGATCAGACTTTTCTCAGGCGTGACAGAATCGTTGCGCGATGGTGGCGTGCCATAAGGGTGCGTACGTTGACGCCAAACAACTTGATTTTAGAGACCCATGTACATAGTTAATTACTGTAGTAGAGAGAACGCACCGCCTCATCGCCTCGATGATACCATGCGTGAAAATGCACTTGATAGCGTCCGATTGCTTGCAACACCACCAAGCACATGCCCGTCATCAAGGGTCAATAAGAAAGCGTTTGTATTGGACGTTGCCGTCGTAGACGTCATCATGGCCCACGGATCTGATCCGGGGCGCCAGATGTTTCACCCCACGTCAATATGGGTGGATCATATGATACTGACACTTTGCGAAATTAAACACCAGCGCGACCTGACCAGACACCCAAGCGCTGCAAAGCATTTGTTCGTCAGCGTCGACGTTGCAATTTATCGACATCCCGTCCGGGGACAGAGCTTACTAAAGTCCCCTGGTAATAGTTAGTAGCTCAGGGGGCGCTCATCTATCGATCGACAGCATGGCTCAAGAACTCAAATTTCGTGCCGACCGTATGGGTCGTTGCGAAGGCCGTGCTCCCGAACAAAGGTCCATTGAAAAGCAAAAACACTTGTATTGATTGACTTTGGGTCAAGTCCCGTTGGTGAGTCCCGCCTGATATATAAGGCCTTGCTGTCACGTCCGTGTGTTGCTATCTGATTTTGTTGACGTCGAGAACGCATACAACACATCTTTTTTGAGCTCGCGAACGTGCCACGCGCTTGACGCCGTATAGTTCTTCAATCAAAGTCCCCTTGGGCACCACCGATTGTTCGTTGGCACTTTACATATTTCTCTTTCTCGACAACCAGCCCTTTGAATGGCCTGCATCTCGAGGAGAAAAGAAGCGCTCGAAAAGGCTGTTCAAGAGGTATGTAGAAGCATTGAACACTGAAATGATGAAACTACTCTTGCTCCTGGATCAGTCCTCGATCGCCGTCGTCCATTAGACCTCCTGACCAGAGATGCATTGGTGGCTTGAGAAAGGATAGGGTTTCGCTGCACAGTCCGCGTTAGCTAGAGTGCCACTTGCCAGCTCACCAATCGCAAGCAAAAACGTAGTGTATTGATGTCGTGCTCGGTCGACTATTTCAAGCTTCGAACGCTTTGAATGTCTGCGTTAAGCGCTGCGATTCGCTTCTCTTCGGAGCGTACATGGGCGTGCGGCAGCTTGGGTCCCGCGGTGGAGCCCCGGGGTGGCTTCATGCCGAGTTTGATCGTCGATACGTTGTTCCGCTTGCGCTCAACGACCCGGGGTGCAATGTCGGGAAATTGAACATTTTTGGGATCGGAAGCCCCGTCTCAAGCTTGTCGCCGTCCAAATCGACATAGTCGGGAAAGTTGGGGTCCACCTATTTATGACCATATATATCAGTATTAGCAACAGCCGTCGCTACTTCTCACCCGTCGGTTGGACACGATGCTGTGATGCACCGTGTTGGCCTGGGCCCCAAAGATGTCGGTAACGTTGTTGGTTGCGACAAATGTCCGCCGTAAAGCGGTGGGAATCCCCCCGACAATGCCTTTTTGACTGTCTTCGGGGTTGGCACCCTACACCACGTCCGGTACCTGTCCCCATACATATCGCGTACCTTGATGTCCTTTGTCTGCAGCGGGTAAAACGGGTGGTTCTTGAGCTCGTACGGTTTCTTGGTGTACGAGAGCGGGTCGTCCGTGATCGGAAACCCGTTGACGACGTACTCGGGCCGGAGGTTGTCCCTAGTGCTCTTAAGTTGCACAAAAAACAAAGGCAGATTGACGTACGTCACGCGCTTTGTCTTGAAGCCTGCGTGGGTGATGTCGCTGCAGTCGAGAATGTCCCGTTCTTTCTTGCGCAGTTCGTGCCAATGCGCCGTCGCGCCAGGGACATCGCTCTACCTCCAACATATGCAGCGTCACGCGACCGCCCATCTTTTTTCTTTCAAACGTACGACGTTCATTGTATCGCGGGGCGGACGCGCATGCAGCGGTCGCATGCGCGTGCCTTCGATATCATCGACTTGGTACGAGTCGCGCAGGAACCGCGGTGGCACGATCGGTGCAGGCTCACAGTACGGCAGTGGATACCTACCCAAGCGGAATCTAGCACGCAGGTTCGAATGCTCGGTCGTTCGTACTTGGGGTTGAGCGGGTTCACAACGCGGTTGGTAGTAAAGCCAGTGTGCGACGGACTTGAACCCTCGATCGGGAGCTGCTGGAACTGCGGGTTCGCGCCCTTGTTCCACTGCGATGGATGCAATTGGCGGCTGTGCGAGCCGCTCACGTCGGCCGTGGGTGGCTTGTGCGTATACATGTACGGCTTCAAGCATGGCTTGGCGCCCGCGATGTCGTCGACGTAGTTGGTCACGCGGGGCATCGTTCCTGCAACGCCTGCCCAGAATAGGGTCGTATCCGGTTACCAACCCTACCCCCGATGTTGGCTCCATCTGGCACGCTGTAGCGCGGGCCGGACGAGACAATACTTTCCACATTTATCGATCGACATTATACCGTGTCAAGCCATCCAGATGCAGATGCATTCCGTGCATAAGTACGCGGCTATTGACCCAAGAACGATTCGAGGCTGGCGGTTTTGACCTGAAAGTCGCTTGCAGCGTCCGCGGCGTCGTCTGCGGGGGCTGCCACGGGCGCCGCGACACCCTTGTCTTTTTTGAAAAAAGTCTTTTTGGGCTTCTCTGCCTTTTTGCCGGCTTTTTTCTTGGCTTCCTAATCCACACCCTTTATACCTTGTGTGACGAAAGAGGGCGTACATGGGCAGGCACGACCGTGCGCTTGACGCAAGCGATGAGCTGCTTCATGCGCTCGACCCGCTTTGCACTGGTTTCGTCCAAGATCCCTAGCACCTCCGAGATGGCACCATGTTCCCGGAAGAGTCTACTACCTTGGAGCTCCAACTCTTTGAGCTGCGCTTGCAAATCGTCGAGGGTCGCTTTTTTTGTCAAAATGTCGTAGAGCAGGGTCATGCTCTCGAGACATTTGGCCCAGTCGTCGTTCGATCGGAGGCCGCTTCGACGCATCTCGCTCTCGTATTTTGAAAAAACGTTCGCAGATTCTGCACCCAACGCATTGGTGAGTCTATCCAACGTCACGATACCAAACGATGAGAGTACCGTGGTATCGGTGTGCACACGACCCGCCGCGACATCGCAGTTGAACGGCGCCGTGCGCGCAATGAAGCGCTTGGAATATTCGTCCACACACCTAGTCGGTGATCCCGATGAGATAGTGAATCGAGAAGAATGAGATTGTAGAGAGACCGGTCCAACGCCAGACGCAGAACGCGGGCATTGAAGAACGAACTGCTAATCCACTGACGAATGTCCGTGCCATAATCTTCAATGGTCGCCAGCAAGTTGGCCACCACGGGCTCGTCGTCGTCCCACTTTTTCCCGAGCCAGTGCGCGGTGGTTTCCTATTCATGGATAAGGCGCGTCACACACGAACGATGACGCACGGCTTCGAGGTCGGCAAAGATCTTGGAGACGACCAAGCTGCACACACCGACCGCCAGCTGAACAATATCTACATTCCCATTTATGAAGGTCGTTACCAGGTTAAAATCGTCATTTGTACCGGCCGACGTGGCGTCCAAGAGGTCACCGAGACCTAATTGGAGCTTTTGCTTTTCTTCCTCGTGGTCGGCGGCTCCTGGAAACGCGATGCCATCGACCAATTCCAAGCACTTGGACTACATTGCCGTAGAATATACGACACACTTGAATGATTCAACGAGACAAGTTTGTACCTGGAGGACATCCGTATCGTTGATGAACGAGCAGAGCGCTTCAATGTCCGTGGTTGCGAGATGCGCTGCGAAATGGTCCTTGCGCGCCGAGAGCTGCCGCATGAGCGCCGACAGACACGTCTACAGCATAAAACGTCTTTAGTTTTCACAAAAAAAGACAAAAAGACCACAATACAAGTTCAAATACAAGATTCAAAACGTAAATAACAAAACAAAAACACACAATGGACCGTGACGCACCCCGACAACTTTGGCCAAGAGGTGCCCGCCGAGCCACTCTTGAGCGATCGAGACTTGGGAGCTGAGAATGTTTATAATGTCGTTGGGCCGCGTCGAGTGCAGTTCGCCGGCAGGACCCACGATCGTCTCCTCGTCGCGGTTGTAAATGTTGGTGACCCACGTTGACACTTGGTCCTACGCCAAGGTCGTGTCGCATTTCGTACATGCTATGCGTGTACATGGATGCCTTCGAGGTACAACTTCATCATGAGACTCGCCGTGTTGTCGAGGATCTGCGACGGCGTCGCTTGCTTGTACTTGCCGACCTAGCACGATTCGCGACCGCGTTCGCCAGACAAAACGAGTCGCGATGACGTACTTCCGTGTTGAAGTAGTCGACCCATTGAATGAGCTGGAGCTTTTGGCCGACGCCGAGATCGGTTTTCGAGCAAATCTTGGTCAACTAGACTCCAGTCGAATCGCTATTGCCTTGTACAGAGCGCTCGTACGTGCTCTTCCAGCGCGGCGTTGTAGCCGTCAGCAAACACCTGAACAGCATCAAGCTGCGGCGGAAAGCAACCGGCGACGTCGCGGTCGACGCTCTCCAAATCGAGCACGAGGCTCGAGGCCGCTTGGAGCATCCCGTTGAACGCCTAGCGTACACATTGAGGGGACTCGACGGTACGGACAGACAGCACCTCGTTGAAGGGCTTGTCGTCCTTGGCGATCGCAGCAAACATGTCAAACACGCGGGTCTTGAGCGACGTCTCGAGCTGGTCGCGACAGAGGGCATAGAACGACGGCATGGCTTCTTCGGGGACGGCCGAAAGTGTATTCGTCAAGTAGACTTTGCCAGCGTCGACGCGCTTGCGTCGGCGTCTACATGAAAATGACAATAATGTCTTCTACAAGTCGAAACAACGCACTTTTCGAGCACGTCCAACAGCTGAAACGCATCCACGAGTCGCTTCTTGTCGAATTGGACCATTTCAATGCAGTTGATGACGATGGTCCACGCGCCATTCAAGATCGTTTGACCCAAGTACACCAACAACTGTCAAGAAATCCCTGGGACATCTACCTCCTCGTATGCAGTACATGTTGGTGGAAAGGATATTTTTTCGACGCCATCGATGCGCGATTGGATCGCCGCCAGCGCCTTGGGCACGTGCTTGCTACAAGCGCATGAGGACGGAGCTCAACCGCATTCGGTACCTAGAGAACATGTCGTCTTGGTTGTCGTGCTGGGACGCATGCAGCTACAGGCTGTAAGTTAAAGATCGCAGTCGTCGTGGTCGCCATGGACGAACCTGGTGAAGCATCTTTTGGCGCCACTCGTCGCATGCATACCACTTGGAAAACACCGGTAGGAGCTCGCCGAGGTTCGTCTGCACCGTGTACTGGAGCTCGTCGAGCTTGCGTGGCAGCTCTTCGTAGAGCTGGAGCTGGCTCTGGAGCTCCTTGAGGTTGCGCCGCGCGATGCTGACCTCGGACGCGACGCCTTCGTCGCCGAGCTCCTTGCGCATGCGCTGGCAGCTGGCGCCCATCTCCTTGAGCGACGACGTCACGACCTCGAGCGGCTCGTCGCAGTCGAGCAGCAGCGACGCGCGCTCGATCTCGTCGATCTGCGCTTGGACGAACCCCGCGAGCTGCCCTTTCGTGCTCTCGTCCTTCTGGAGGTAGTCGTACTTGATCTCTGCGAGCTGCTGCGTGTTGACGAGCTCGCTCGCGTCCTTGAGCCGCATGCGGATGGCCTCGACCGGGTCTCGCGCCTGCGCCTCGAGCCGCGCGATCATGCTGCTACTGCTGCAGGTCGTCGCCATGCTGCGATCTTTTGCGATCTTTCGGGTATAAAGTAGTAGAGGTTTCTTAAGTATATCATCTCCCACAGGTTATCGCTTTAAAGCGTACATGTGCCGATGTGGTATTAGAGGTTTTGCCACAACCTCGCATGACGCCTATCAAGGCCCTCTATATGGACGTCGTCGTGGGCTAGTTCGCATAGCCCAGCGCATATATATCTACATTGTCCAGACAGTCAAAGCTCGAGCTGTCTCGCGAGGATGAGTGAGTAGGTTCTCGGTGTAGGAAGATCGTCATGCGCTGGGTCGTTGTCCCGTCTCTGATTCGCTGGCTACGTGTCCATTCCACCAATCAACGCCACGTCTATATTCCAACAGCCAATCCCACGCCACGCCCTTTTGCACCCGATACATGATGGGCACCAACCCCAAGCTCGAGCCGAACGCGTGGCTGGTCGTGCTCGACCTCGAGGCGGCCTGCGGCCTCGACGTGCCATGGTACGAGAAGGAGATCATCGAGGTCCGCGCCATCGTCGTCTCGGTCGTGCAGCAGACGGCAATCGCCGAGTTTCACGCGTACGTCCGGCCGGCCACGTATACGGCGCCGCTGGACCCGCTCTGCCTCTCGCTGACTGGCGTGACGCAGGCACAGGTCGATGCTGCGCTGCCGTTTCGCCGCGTGTGGAAGGACCTCGTGGCGTTCTGCGCGCCGTACGAGCGCCATGGGCTCGTCGTCTCGGTCGACGACTGGGACGTGACGACGATGCTGCCGGCGCAGTGCGCCCGCGACGAGGTGCCGCTGCCGGCCTTTTT